TATCTATCTATCTATCTATCATCTATCTATCTATCTTCATGTGATTATTTCTATCTATCTATCTATCTATCTATCATCTGATTATTTCTATCTATCTATCTATCATCTGATTATTTCTATCTACCTATCTACCTATCTACCTATCTACCTATCTACCTATCTATCTACCTATCTACCTATCTATCTCTCTATCTCTCTATCTATCTATCTATCTATCTATCTATCTATCTATCTATCTATCTATCTATCTATCTATCTACCTACCTACCTACCTACTATCTATCTATCTATCTATCTATCTATCTGGAAATGTGTCTTGTTGATAGCATGGTATTAAGTATTATCATGGAAAATCTGTGTGATGGATTAAAAAAGTTAGGTAGTATTGAAACCAATCATCAAACTAGAGCAAATGTTAAACACAATTGTGTGTCTGGATACGGCAGATAGTGGAGTGACACTGAGAACACGTGAAGGTGATAAACTGGAGTGTTAATAAGCTGAACACGAGTCTGAAGCGTCTAATCATAACAGAGAGTGTGATATCTCAATGTGTTTGTGTGCGAGGGAACGTCAGGTTTATCTCTGTAAAGCACTTCGTGTTGAATGTGACGAGTCCAGTGAGATTAAAACATCTGTGCGTGAAATCATGACGAGCTTCATTCGTGAATCACCAGCAGAACTATTTCTGTGTAAATGAATCTGATTTTACACAGAAATCCTGTTCCGTTCGGCTTCATGTTTACATCTTCAGTGGAGTACTTAAACTGTGTTTAGGTTTAAAGGAATAAAATAGCAGTTTTACGCTTAAATTGATGCTAAAAAGCACAAAAATGCACCAGAAACGAAGGCTGGTGATGTTGTTGTATGCAGTGGATGGCTGTGAACGCTCCACCTCTGAGAAATTCCAGTAAAACGCTCGTTCAGAGCCAGAAACTCCACAAACGGACATGATTTGCTGTTGGAAATCAAAGGCGGCGCTCACTTTCCCTGCATTGCGAATAGATTAGCAGTCGTTACTTTCCCCGCGGCCGTTCGCTGTTTGAGCTGATGGAGTCCAGATGGGGGTCGAGAGACACGGAGGCGTCTGGCAGCTTCATGCGACGCTCCAGAAACCTTCAGCTGACTGATTCCCGAAACATCAACACGGCCTGAAACGCTCCAAACTACACTTGACCTGATCTCTGAGAGTCTGTAGACTCTCAAACAAACGATTCCTGTGAATCGTCTCAGTGGTTTGAATCAGTCTAACAGAAGTTTTGCTCAATCCTGGATGGATGTTTGTGGATGTATTTTAATAAAAACCCAAATCAAAATAATAGACACTTAAAAATAAAGGTTCTTTATTGGCATCCATGAAAGGGGTAGTTCATCCAAAATGAACATTTTGTCTTCATTTGCTCAGCCTCAAGTTGTTCCAAACCTGTAAGAGTTTCTGCTGAACACAAAAGAAGATATTTTGAAGAATGTTGGTAACTGAACAGTTGACGGTAGCCACTGATTTCTGTAGTATGGAAAAGATACTATGGAGGTCAATGGCTACCATCAACCGTTTGCTTACCAGCATTATTCAAAATATTTTTAGCATCCATAAAACCTTTCTTTATATTGCAAAAAGATTCTTTATATCATTAAAGAAAAAATGGTTATTTAAGAACTGTTCGCTGAAAGATTATTTGTGGATAGTTGGATAGGTAAGATGAATAGATAGTTGAATAGATAGATAGATGGGAAGATGGATGGATAGATAGATGGATGGGTAGATAGTAGGGGTGGAACGATTCAACTTACTCACGGTTCAATTCGTATCACGGTTTTAGAGTCACGGTTTCGGTACGGTTTGGTATGGTATGTGCTATGTTCAGGCAAAAACTAATAAAAATAAAGAAAATAAGAATAATCTATCTAACTACAAGCAACAGCACAAGTAAATACAATAGAGTAAAGATACAAATAAAATGAACAGTGATTTTCAGGTGTTTTTAGGTACAGAAATTGAATAAATCAAATGTAAAATAACATTGCATATTTGACTGTATAAATTAAAGATTAATCCTTAAAGTTACAAAAGTTATTCAATCAAGAGCAGTGAGTGATTTCTTTGTTGTTGCTGTTTGATTAATATTAACAAAGTGCTGTCACTTTAAGAGAATGCACTGATACAGTACGTTCAGCCGGCTATGTCTGCTATAGGATACTCACCAAGACGGGCATTTTGACACAATTTTTGTGTGAATTTGTTCATTTAAACACAATACTTCACAGAAAGCTTAATATATGCGCGCGTTCTGAGACGCGGGTTCACGCGCTTCGGATGAGTGACCACACAGATCTTCTCACTGCGCGCGCGAGTTCACGTCTTCTAGCTCTTTAATATTTAAACTGGCAAGGCTTAAATGAGTTTAGTTTAAACACAGAAAGCAACGTGTGCTGTTCAGGTCTCACCTGCGCTATCAACACGTAATGACGGCATAAATGGCAGTTATTCCAGCATACAGCACTCGCATTGATTAAAGAGTGACTGGTTTGTCCACGTATTGTTTTTTTTTCTCTCATCGCTCTTGTTGTAATGTATTGGGAAGCCAGAATTTGTATCCATCAACAGAAACATGCATTAGCCGAACTCTAACAAACCATATTACAGATGCACTGTCAGATTTAAGTTGAACCGCGGTCCTAGTGTATGCCGAACCGTGTGTGGAGAACCATACAGTTCGATTTTTTACAGAGAACCATTGCACCCCTAATAGACAGAGAGATAGATAGATAGATAGTTGGATGGGTAGATGGATGGGTAGATGGATAGATAGTTGGATAGATAATTGGATGGATAGTTGGATAGGTAGATGGATGGGTAGATGGATAGATAGTTGGATGGATAATTGGATGGATAGTTGGATGGGTAGATAGATGGGTAGATGGATAGATAGTTGGATAGTTGGATAGATAATTGGATGGATAGTTGGATGGGTAGATGGATAGATAGTTGGATAGATAATTGGATGGATAGTTGGATAGGTAGATGGATGGGTAGATGGATAGATAGTTGGATAGATAATTGGATGGATAGTTGGATGGGTAGATGGATGGATAGTTGGATAGGTAGATGGATGGGTAGATGGATAGATAGTTGGATAGATAGATGGATAGTTGGATCGATAATTGGATGGGTAGATGGATAGATAGTTGGATAGATAGTTGGATAGATAATTGGATGGATAGTTGGATAGGTAGATGGATGGATAATTGGATGGATAGTTGGATAGGTAGATGGATGGGTAGATGGATAGATAGTTGGATACATAATTGGATGGATAGTTGGATGGGTAGATGGATAGATAATTGGATGGATAGTTGGATAGGTAGATGGATGGGTAGTTGAGAAACCAAAAATGGAACCTTTATTTTTAAGAGTGTTTTATAAAATGGTTGCAAAAGTAGTGTGTTGTGTTTATTATTTGGGTTTGACCAATTGGGTTTCTAACTGAGTTGAACTGACGTGTTTAAATGATCGTGTCATATGGTAAGAGTGTCGTAGCATGAGTTTGTATCGCATTTTTAGTGTATTTCTAGTTTATTTTCTCCTCTTGTTCTCCAGGATTCAGTCGTGTGACAGATTCTCTTCAGAAACTGCATGTTGATGGCTGTGTTGTTCTTTGCAGGGATCTGAGCCGTAACAAGTTACGCACGTTTCCTGAAGCGCTGCTCACCAGCCTGCCGCAGCTCAGTGAAATGTGAGTGTGCTTTTTTTTGGGTTTTGTTTTATTTCCCCCTCAGATGTCACGGATGAAATCTACATGTGTGACCGTTTGGTTTTACGTTCACAGAAAACTGAGTAACAACGAGTTCGAGTCGATCCCGGATTTGGGGCCAAATGCTGGAAACCTCAGCAGTCTGATTCTGTGAGTATGAAATCATCGTTATCTTGGTTTACTTGCACTAAAGAGTGAAACTGTGATGCTTTTGAAACAGTGATCTGTCTGCTTGAGCGGCCCGATATGACAACTTTGAACTCAACCAATGGGGTGCATTTGGGGGCGGGGCTTTCTGTGTGACTGACCAATGGCTGTATTTCTGCATTCTGTTTGCTTCCACTAGTGGCACTTTTGAAAGATGAATGAAGTTGGATTTGAGGTCAAATCAAAAAAAAAAAAATGATACATGCAGGTGGATGAAGAATTCAGCTTTCTTCTGAAAACGTCACTTGATTCTCTTCTATAGAGTTAAGTTTGTTCTCAAGGCGTGAGTTTGTGTTTGAAAAGCATCATTGGTTGGATCTGCATGAGTCAAAACGGTTTGAATCTGGTTTTAATCTTCATGTGAAATATTCTTCATTGTCTCATTCATTATAGTCATATGAGTGATTATTTACAGTCCTCCAGCAGATTCCATCTTCTTGAAGATGTGACACTTAAAATTACAGAATAATGAAATATTAATTTCCCTGGTCGAGAGTGTCTGGAGTGAATTTCTGAGCGTGTGTGTGTGTGTGAGAGTGTGTGTGTGGTATTTCCTCTTGGACTCAGAGCACAGTTTGGCAGCATTTGGTTGGTCTGTTGTCTGTGACTGAGCACTCTGTGTTAAATACAACACTGTCCAGATACATCCGACCGAAGCGCCGCTCTCAAACTAAAACTATGAGACTCTTTTAACATCCAGAGTGCCTTAGTTTTTGTTGAATCTCGTGTTTAGAATGACATTGGACCAGTTTTATGCTGGCTTGTCAAAATATTGTCTGATCATTTAAAATAATGTGAAATTTGAGGGTCATGATGGATAGTTGAATAGATGGAGAGATATATGGATGGATAAATGGATAGTTGAATAGATAGATGGTTAGTTGAATAGATGGGTAGTTGGATGGATAGATGGGAAGATAGATAGATAGATAAATGGATAAATGGGTAGTTGAATAGATTGATAGATGGATAGTTGAATAGATAGATACATGGATAGGTAGATGGGTAGTTGAATAGATGGAGAGATATATGGATCGATGGATAGATAAATGGATAGTTGAATAGATAGATAGTTGGATAAATAGATAGATGGTTAGTTGAATAGATAGATAGATAGTTAGATAGATAGATAAATGGATAAATGGGTAGTTGAATAGATTGATAGATGGATAGTTGAATAGATAGATAGATACATGGATAGGTAGATGGGTAGTTGAATAAAAAGATGGTTAATTGGGTAGATGGATAGATGGATAAATGGATGGATATTTGGATGGATGGATGAGTAATTGGATAGAGATGATGGATGGATAGTTGGATACAGATGAGTAGTTGGATATATAGACGGATAGTTGGATAGATAGTTGGTTGGATGGTTACTTGAATAAATGGATGGATAGATAGATAAATAGATAGATGGATGGTCGTATAGTTGTATTGATGGATTGATATATGGATAGTTGGATAGATAGTTGGTTGGATGGGTAGTTGGATAGATAGATAGATAGATAGATAGATAGAGGAGCTGTTGCCAGGGTATTGCTCTGCAGTCTCAAGTGTCTTCTTGTTGGTTTCTAGGTTCCTGTGCGGTTGCTAGGGTGTTCTGGGTGGTTGCTAGGTGATTTAAAAATTATGCAGTATTTCAGGACATGCGGCGAACAGTGTAACACAGGCATTATCAAAGCTCAGTCCTTCAGTCCTTCGGTCAAATTTTCCAGCTAATTGCTCTTGAGCAGTGGCTTCATACGGCTCTTTAATTGTTCAAGGCCATAAATTCCTTTGAAATAGCTGAATTAATTGAGGCGATGGCGAGTGAATTACTCCCAGCTGTGGAGCTGATGCCGTTTGTTTTTGGTGGGCTGATGGGTCAAAGACGAGAGACGCTCTGTCTGAGAGACTGTTTGAATAAGAGGCAGGAGCTATACGATACCCCAGACCCCCGTACAGCTCTCTCTCTCTCTCTCTCTCTCTCTCTCTTGTTCGCTTGCTCTCGTATGCAACAGTAGAACTGTGTCAGCTGCATTTATACTGTGCTAGATATATTAGTGTGTTTATCAGCGAACAGTACTTTATTTGCACTTGAGAACAACAAAATTAGACGTAAGACTAATTCATTCGTTATCAGTTTGTTGGTTTATATTCATTTAGTTCTAAACAAAAAGAGAAAATAAGAAGCATCTCATTGGATAAATGAACTCATTGATTTCGAATCGAAATCTGGTTTATTTTTTTCAATTCAATACAATTTATTGTCCCCAAAGGAGAAATTTGTCTTGGACCCTGGAGCCTGCATATATCAAGCATAACATTACATAATAAAAGCCCACATAGATATAGATAAAGCAACATTCCAAACCACAATAACAAATAAATAACATTTTCCCAAATTCCATTTTTATTTTTGCCCAGATTCCGTTTTCATTCCTCTGGATTTCCAATTTTTTTTTCCATTTAAATTTTTCTGGATTTAATTTTAATGGTTAAAATACATTTTAGCACTCAAAAAGTCTAAGTTACACAATTTACAAAAAATTAAAAGTGTAACAAATTACATTTTTAGTGCTCGTAAATTTTTTTCTTCCAAATTCAGTGTTTTTCATTTTAATTGAATGATAATAGGGCCCTTTGAAATGGTTTATATCACGATTTGATTAATTGCACGACCCTACTTTTGATTTTTTTTTCATCCAAAATTTGCCAAATTCTGTAACATAACGCATTATGCTGTAAATTCTTTTTTTTTATGACTGGATTCAGTGATTCTGTCTGCGTTTTCCATATTGTGGAAATTCTGTAATATTGTAAAACACTTAATTGATTGGATTACCTGAAAATAGTCATGACCACACGGTTACTGAGAATCCGAACATTTTCCATTGAATTTGCAGCTGAAATCGCTGTGAAGTGCAGTGCTGATGTGAAAGGATTTGCTCATTAACGATCTGCAGCAGGATCTTTACAGCATGAGGAAAATATGTTGAAACTGAGTTGAAATTAATGTGTTTCAGACCGTGTGTGAGCTCTTCTCTGCTCATCTCAGAGCCAACTTCACTTCTTTCCCTTTAGTCTCATATGCCAGAAACACACACACACACACACTCGCGGTGTGGAAAGTGTCTGCGTTGTGAAATTCAGCAAGCATCTAATAACTCTCATAACGCGCTGACATGCCAAACATTCACAGCGCTGCTTTCACAATCCACTTTATGTGGAAACAATCTCACCGTGAGCGTTTTTCATATAATCTGTCATATATAATGCTGTGTTTGTCATTTAGCTTGCGGCGCTAAAAATACCCCGGCCCGCTCAGACTCTGATTAAACTAACGGTGTGTAACAACCTTATTTGCTGAAAATTGGTTGAACAAATTTGAGGTGTGCGGTAGAAAGACACAATGAGCCGCTTGTTTGTCTGAACTCTGAGGAGGAGGGAGAGATAAAACACACACTCACAAGCACGCGCACACACACTCACACTCACACACACGCACACACACACTCGCACACACACACACACGCTCACACACACACACACGCACCCTCACACACACGCGCACACTCGCACTCGCGCACACACACACACTCACACTCACGCACACACAAACGCGTGCTCACACTCACGCACACACACACTCTTACACGCACACACTCTCACACACACACACACACACACACGCTCTCGGCAGATGTTGAAGACACACAGAGAGTGTGTCTGGTTATTTTATGGCTGTTCATGAGTAATTACACTGAGGTAATAAACAGGAACTAGAATTGAGACTGACATTCCTTACGTCTTTGCTGTTGTTTTTTCAATCTGAGGGACAGACTTACATTTTTTATGGTCAGAGACTCTGATTGTTCATAAATGAGCTGCTCGACTTCTTTGTTTCGTGTCGGATGCTTCATTCACACGTCTGTCTCTCCAGAGGATCTGCTCCGGCACGTCCCGCGTCTTATCTGTCTCGCTCTCTCAACACCTTTGACTCTAAGATTTTTAATTATTAAAAATAGCTTCCAGATAGTATATAAATTATTTTAAATGCCAGTTTTTATTTTTTATTTTAAATAACATTTTGTCTATAAAATCACACTTGCTATTTTTTTTCACATATTATAAATTAGTTTTAATATATATATATATATACATACATATGTTGCATGGCTATATTTACTAATTTTATAATTAATAAAAAATATAAAATGTAATTAATAATAAAGTAATTTAAAAAATGCCATTAAACAAATCTTAAAAATATGCAGTCTTCATGTTGTTTCTACATTAATTTGGAGATTTGATGTGAAAATATGTCTATTTACAAATTATTGTTAGGTAAGCTTTATAATGTACAAATGTATCCGTTCTTGTCTCTTGACTAATGAAGCATCTTCAGGGAGTTTAAGCTCATTTTAGACTAGTTTGTTTTTTAAACTAGTTTGCTTTTGTTTAATTTAAGTCCTTTTAGACTAGTTTAGCCTTTTAAATACAAGTTTAAGCTTTTTTAGACTAGTGCTCCTTTATGCTCCTGTAGACTCATTTAAGCCAATTAGTTTAAACTTTGACTAGATTATGCTCCGTTATACTAGTTTATGGTCATTTAGACTAGTTTAAGCTCATTGTCAACATACATTAATATATATTCATATACACTTTCTCTTGAAAGAGTTATTTATGATGATTTTCATCATGTTTATGTGCACAGATGTTTTATTTCATCACTTGATTAATGAAGTGTCTTCGGTGAGCGTTTCCTATCACACGTATGTGGCGTGTCGTCATTTGTCCTCTCTTATGACGTCAGTGCCGTGTTTATGTTGAGTTATGCTCAGTTTCACCCGTATAAACCCAAACCGAGTGTGTGTGACTGTCTGAAGGTTTAGACCTGCGATTCCAGGCTCGCGTCCGACACACAAAGGCGGCTCTGTGCCCTCCGTGTTGCTAACACAAGCAGCTCCTGCACTGCTATTTAGGAGGCGTGCAGCTCCGGAAATTGCTGGGCTCGTCAGCGGTGCTTTCACTGAGGGAATGGGCTTCATCATCCGCGTAATTGGCAGGGTTTTTTTTTTGTTTAAATACCTTGTTAGTAATTACCTTATAAACCAAATAACACACTTCTGAACCCTACGGCTGTTTTGAGCTGTCAGAGACATCAGAGAGCCGGAATCTGCTTTCTGAAATGCCTCCGCTTGTGTTTTCAGAGCAAACAACAGGATCTCGAGGATCTCGGCAGAGCGGCTCAGTTCGCTGGTCGCCCTCGAGATGCTGGACCTTAGCAACAACAATATTATGGAGGTTCGCGCCGGGGCTTTTCCTCCTGTTCCTCTGAAAAACCTGTGAGTCCTTCTTCTGTTCTCAACTGACCTGCTTTCCAGAAACTGCCAGGAGTCTCACATCAGCTCACTGTGGCACTCCTCTGTGCTAACCGTCACCTTTCAGACTAGTTCAAGCTCCTTTAGACTAGTTTAAGCTCTTTTAGACAAGTATATGCTCCGTTAGACTAGTTTAAGCTCCGTTAGACTAGTTTAAGCTCTTTTTAGACTACTTTATGCTCCTTTAGACTAGTTCAAGCTCTTTTAGACTAGTTTAAGTTCTTTTAGACTAGTTTAAGCTCTTTTAGACAAGTATATGCTCCGTTAGACTAGTTTAAGCTCCGTTAGACTAGTTTAAGCTCTTTTTAGACTACTTTATGCTCCTTTAGACTAGTTCAAGCTCTTTTAGACTAGTTTAAGTTCTTTTAGACTAGTTTAAGCTCTTTTAGACTAGTTTATGCTCCGTTAGACTAGTTTAAGCTCTTTTAGACTAGTTTAAGCTCTTTTATACAAGTATATGCTCTGTTAGACTAGTTTAAGTTCTTTTAGACAAGTATATGCTCTGTTACTCCTTTTAGACTACTTTATGCTCCTTTAGACTAGTTTAAGCTCTTTTAGACTAGTTTATGCTCCGTTAGACTAGTTTATGCTCCGTTAGACTAGTTTAAGCTCTTTTTAGACAAGTATATGCTCTGTTAGACTAGTCTAAGCTCTTTTAGACAAGTATATGCTCCGTTGGACTAGTTTAAGCTCCGTTAGACTAGTTTAAACTCTTTTTAGACTACTTTATGCTCCTTTAGACTAGTTTAAGCTCTTTTAGACAAGTATATGCTCCGTTAGACTAGTTTATGCTCTGTTAGACTAGTTTAAGCTCTTTTAGACTAGTTTATGCTCCATTAGTCTACTTTATGCTCCTTTAGACTAGTTTAAGCTCTTTTAGACAAGTATATGCTCCGTTAGACTAGTCTAAGCTCTTTTAGACTAGTTTAAGCTCTTTTAGACAATTATATGCTCCGTTAGACTAGTTTAAGCTCCGTTAGACTAGTTTAAGCTCTTTCTGGACTACTTTATGCTCCTTTAGACTAGTTTAAGCGCTTTTAGACAAGTATATGCTCCGTTAGACTAGTTTAAGCTCCGTTAGACTAGTTTAAGCTCTTTTTAGACTACTTTATGCTCCTTTAGACTAGTTCAAGCTCTTTTAGACTAGTTTAAGTTCTTTTAGACTAGTTTAAGCTCTTTTAGACTAGTTTAAGCTCTTTTAGACTAGTTTAAGCTCTGTTAGACTAGTTTAAGTTCTTTTAGACAAGTATATGCTCTGTTAGACTAGT